ACATCAACCCACACGAGCTATGGTTCTGAGACTGTCGAACAACTAAAGATGTCTCAGTTCCGCTGCTCGAATAGGCCAAGTCTCGCATCCATACAACAGAACATCTTGATACACACGTTCCTTCAGTGTTCGAGTCCGAAATCCTAATCCCTCAAAAAACGATAGGTTGAAACCTATTTGACTTCAAGGAAGTGATCTTTAATTTTTATGCGGTAGCGTTCGGTTGTTCTGTTTTGCTGTCCTGTCGTGTTCCAGGGGCTAGATACGTGATTCCATCAAATTTGTGACATTCTGGTAACCAGCGTACGACTCAAATGTTCTGATAGCTTGCTTGTATTAGGTAGAAGGACATGTTATTTGAACCGAATTAGGTCAGATAAGTTTCAAAACAATAGAATTTTGTTTTTGGTAAGGAAGAAACTTTACTTAACCCACAATAGGCTGCTTGCGGTATGTACTAAAGATAACGCTACCGGCCACAGCCAGCGTCTTCATTTGTTTGAAATTTATTGAAGAAAATTCACAACCAGAGCCTCTGCATCTGAGAGCATACTTGAGTTATTCAGTAGACGACAATTGGATTATCAGACCCATGTTCTTGGGAAATGAAATTCTGGATCGTTTAGGCAGAAGCACTCATCTTACTGTTTAGTTTAGAAGCAAGTGCACCGAATTCCGATTCATTTTCAGTACGTTGTTCCAAGGATGAGTTAAACACAATGCTGATCAGCCGCTCATAGCCGAACAATTAGGTAAGGTTAAACCTCTTGTTTAAACCCAAAGTTCGGGGGTCCATGTCTCTCTAACGTTTCGTGAGATGCGCACTACTGATGTTTCTCAATAAGGGTAAAACAACTGAACAGCGTTCCTTGAACTTTCATTTTTCCCACCCATCACGTTATCTAGTTGGGCAGAAGCAACAAGACATACACGTATTGTCATGCAAGGCAGAAACCCCGCATGCAGGAAAAAGCAGCTCAAATTTTCCTTGTAAATCAGAAGCTTGATATATATAGTAGGACCCGTGAGTCTGTTTCAAACGTTTCTTTATTATAAAAGATAATCTATGTGTAGTAAGTTGATGCCCATAACCACTTTATGCTGCCTTATGGACTGATGGTTTGGTATGGTCTACTTCAGCTATGTAAGGTTCTCCTCTTTCTTCATCAGTCCATTTGATAGGACAGTTTTGAAGTGAGACCCAGGTCAACTAGATGGCTTGTGGTCGCGATATACAGGAAAAGGTTGATGGCACAATTTTATGAAACGGTAGACTAATTGATCGATTTCTGGAGGTGTTCAAGTAATCCAGTAGCACATCATATGAGATTTGGTTTAATACGAGTAGTTCACTGTTGTTGTCAACTCATGTGGACACGAATCGCTGAGGCATCCAGCTCTATAAAGTTTTCTCATCAATGTCGAAAGTATGTACATTTTGCGGCAACTGAGAAAGCGTCGGTAACCACGATTCAGTTAACCTGCGTCTGTTTCAGAGGAAAACAAAACCAAATGTCGCATCTGGACGAGGAACCAATTCCATCTCCAAATGGTTGATCACGACCACCGACGAATTGTTTGGAGTGGTTTTGAGAAGGATCACTTAAGACGACCTTGATATCAGTTGCCTTGCAGTTCAGGCGTTTAAGTTATAGGAAACAGCTACCAAATTAAAAACCTTACATCTTTTCAATGCCCCTTGTATCAGACATTTTAGTCAAAGACTCAAGGTGAATTATATCAGTCAACCCCATTTTTGACCTGATCCTACCACCCGTACTTGCAACCCTTTTTTCACTAACTCTTGCTAGCTACATTTCCATACACATCAAACGATAGACTTTAGTAAATTCGTTTACCGATTTCCAAACTAGTATCACGTTTCTAAACCGCCGACTAGAAGAATAACAAAAATAATTCATTTTGCGACCCAAAAGCTCTGATTCATGCTGCAACCTTTAATGGCCGTAATCACTGTTAAATTGGAGAGCAGTCATTCCTAACCAAAATATTGCTTCTTCTTTCGATCACTGAATGTTGCACTTCCAAAATCTGCATGCGTGCGCTCAATCCAGCCGTGTAACCAAAATTCCTCTGGACATACTTGAATGTCTTGCGTTTTACTCATCGGAACTCACCGCACCGACTTGCATTGTCTGCGGGATGAGTTTGCCTTCAGCTCCAGGGATGAAAACGACTTACCGGAGTGGATCTTGGTAAACGGTTGCCTCTGCTCTCCATACTGCTCTCTTGTTCAACTAAAATCAATATAGGTTGATAATTTAGACAAGGTCTATCTGGCAGGTCAATATACGCCCCGATTGACTCCAATGCTGAACTGAGGGATTGATTCCAATATGCAAACTACAGCGTGCAGATAAAGGCACGCAGTAAGCTTTTGTTTGAGTTTACCACTTGCAGTGCTGTAAGAATCTTCCATCACCTCTCAATACTCCTTAGCTGCTTCAAACTTCTATACTTACACAGGCGGTCGAAATACCCCCGTGAGGTTCGCTAATAGACAAGACATATGCAGACAATACTTTTGTGCTTAGTTTAGATCTTTCTTAGTTGTAGTTCACTTTAAGTGACCAACATTAATATGTTGCATTATTGCTTGTGCAGTTAACATTGCGACTACAAGACTGGATGAAATCAAAACCTGCATCTCGTGCTTTCGGACAAGCCATCCGATAAAGTTGGTAAAGTCGTTCGCGAGGTGGCTTAGGACGAGAGTACCCATCAAACCGCGGAAGCTTCTCCCAAACTTTGACACCTACGGTGACCACTTTAGATCAGTTTACGTGTCACAAAAAAGATTAAGCACTGCGGCGGTGCCATTTTTACTGCTTAATGGACTAAAAGCAAGGCTTTTACGCGCATAAGATGCACTGTTTTTGCTAGTGTTTAACAATCGATGCATCTGAAGGACTGAGTTAACCTGGCGGAGGCATCGGATTAGCAGTGATGAGGTATTTTAGGCGGCTTTAGGAATAGGAGACTCTCTGAAAATGTATGGGCTACTGATGCCTCATTAGTGCGCTGGTTATGACATGTGCTTTGGACAACGGAGGACCGTCTGGCTTGTTCAGCTCTTTTCTTCCAGATCTTAGCGGAGTGAAAGCAACCGAGACGCATGCAGTGTATAAAGTGGCAATGAGGTATGATAAAACTCGTCCGTAACTGCCGTCTGCTTGGATTAAGAACGTAGTCATTGATGGTTGATGACCATAAGAGATATAGGTTAACCATGTGACGCTTATGCATCAAAGCGGTATTTTTCATTCTCAGCCGCCTAGCTTTATGTGCCCTCAGAACAATTAATGATACTAACATACCGGTATGCTATCGCTTTCCAAACTCTCTTGCTTTCCTGTGGCAGAAACTTCAGCAGTCGAGACCAACGTACCCTCGGTGCATTGATTTAAAGCTAATAAACTCGTCGACTTATCACCACTATATGGAAGTAATGTTTAGCCTAGCTTACGCAGTGTGCTGACGTTTTTTATGCATTCCTGTCTTGTGTAGTACATGCTTCAATTGATTTTTATTTCAAATGAACTCGACTGAGTATGACTGCGAACCCAGATACATGAAACTATATTCATTCGTAAAAGGCCATAACGTAATTTCGCTTTTGTGCCTTCCTAGACTTCGTGTTTGCTGCTTCTGCATCTCCTTGATGGTGGCCGTTGCTGGGACGTTGAATGCTTCCTATGTTTTAACCTATAGCATCTAAGCTACAGGCGTTCCTAGCGTTTCTCGCAGTTATTCAGTTCTAGAATAAATTTTTGGATCGATGCTTTGTCCAATATCTCGTGCTACACATGAAGAGAGTACCAACCACGAAAATATCATTTGGTACCTTTGTCGTACTACTTATTCCTGTCACTTTCCACCCACCGCTCCTGAGCCTTCATGTTCTAAAGTTATAGGCATCCCTCATCCAGTTGACATTTGGTCCGTAAATTCTCTTATCTGGCGTCCGCTGTACAGATGCTGCCTACGGACAGGTGTGGAGAAGACTCGATAGCCAACGCAGAACCTAACAATTCCTATATTCTCAAACATAGCTAACGGTTTTGATGTCCAGCATCAGTTACTTGCAGATGCATCTTAGCCATATGATCCGAATTAATGATCCACAGCGACACTCACTAAAAGCGGATTTATTTGGTTTTCCATTTACAACACGTAAGGACGTCCATTGAAAATTCAGAAGTATGTTAAAATAAGTTCCTGAATTCTGTTGACTCGCGTTATTCTATCGGTTCACTGCACTTCTGGTTTACAGTCAAAGTTATTTAAGTTGATCTACAGAAGCTCTACGATCAAACATCTTCAACGCCGCTTTTTACGAACCAATAGCCCATCCATGACTGGATCCTTCATAAATATATGGATTATTATACCGGAAAAACCTAAACTAATCGGTGACCGGCATGCGAATAATTATTACAACACTTGCATAACTAAACTTACCAAGATCTACGGTGAGGTTGACGGAGTCTCTAAAGTGCAAAAATGGATTATCTGCCATGGTTTCCGACTGCCACCAATTATGGGGATTTTTGTCTGTCATATACTCGGCAAAGTGACTTTCAGAAGGGTTTCGAGAATCGCAGTATTGACACCGGCTTGCCATCCCAGAATTTGACATGTGGATACAATACTTCTGCCTCGACCTTTCCCCACATGTATTTGATGCTATTACACGGCGATCAGCAGCAGCGCTTGTAAACGGCGGATAGCACATTTGAGGCTTTCCCTTTCTGTCTGTACACTCGCTAGAAACCCAAAGCACATCCATAGGTTCCTGTGTTTTGGCTTCATGAGTTAGTAACAAAAAAACAACCGGGAGAAAGGCCGAAGCAACCAGCCCGCGAGAAAACATCTCGACGTTTGTAATGACGCTATCAGTCCGTATGACCTGAGCGTGTAATTCAAGGAGTAAAACGAAACGTTCAGTTCAGCACAACCGTTCAAATTCCATGTCCCGTTGACAACTCGAGGCAAACGCACATAATTCTGTGGAGAGTGGTGCCGCTACATGCCCAGGCCGATCTAGGGAGGCTGGAGTAAAGGCCGCAACCGGCCGTTTGGAGGCGGCCAGAAATCATCTTGCTATCTTCGCGCCTTGACAAGGGTCACCGAGGAGATACCCACCAGAGCAGAACGTCACAAGCTGTGTCCTACGGTCCTAGCTGTTGTGGTAATTCTGAAAGATGGTACCTGGTGGCCGAACAGAAGCGCCGCGGCCGTCTGACATTCACAGCCACTAAGTATTCGCCGAATGGAGACGATTACTCGGGAACGACCGTGGTTTAAGGTCCCTACGCCCTACTTTAGACTGTCTACACCTAGCAGGTTATCCTAAAAGTTCTCAGCATGTGTATTTCTTTAAGTGAACGCATTTTCAACGTCATATGTTCTGTCTAATTGTAAGAAGGCCTACAAAGGTATGGAAGTAGGGACTTGAGGTGAAAGGCGAATTAAGTAGTTTGCTGCACACCTGTGACAATTCATGGAACTTCCTAGAGCGGGTGGACACTAACTGTGAGTGAAGTTCACTCCTGTACTCTTCAGTCCACACCTACCGATCGACTCGACGGAAGAAGAATCATGTGAATACCTGTTCTGAGTAATCTTCAAGTCTCCCCCCGAAACTCTTCGTTCGTTTTTACCCTGAAAAAAGCGAAAATTTACACACGGGGAAACTTTTCGCCTTCCACGAAGGCACATACAACCTGACGTTAGGTTGTCGTGACGCTAGTTAGCAGGAAGGTGTAGAGCTTGTATCTACAGGCTGGACATCACAGTAATGGTGTACGGTGAGACTGTGGACACTTACTTATATCGCAGTTTTAATGGAGTTGGATGTATGAGTTCCTTGGGAGAGTGAGTTGGTGTCAACACACAAGACGGAATGCGAAACGTACAGAAATTTATTGACTTTGTGGGCAGCACACTGAAAGTCCATCGAGATGGTTAAATCCGAACGAATTTTTCAGTAGATTAGAATGGATGCGTTCTGCAGGCGGCTGAGGCCAGGTGAAGGGCTTGTTGGTAGTTGTATTTGAGGAAACGAGTAGGCAGAAAGGTAGAGTCTACGGTAGGAAGGAGAGAGTTGCGGATGTGCCATCAAACTGGCTATGAGAGTGCCATGCCACCACTGCATTGACATTCTTGGGTTTCTGGGAGGCCTGGCGACGGACGTCATGCATGTGGTGATTGGGCTGGGATGTGCAACTCTGTGAGCAGCGGGATTATCCAGGCTGATCCTCTGGATTCCTAGAGATAAAACAAAGCTAATGCACCAGCGCGGGTATATTTTTGGTCTGGATGAGGATCCCTTCGGGGGTAAAGCACAAATCATGTAAACTGGATAGAAGCAAAACATGCCATCCAGCGCAGCCATTGCCGAAAGCCAAGGCTTGGGAAGAAGTAGTGGGATGATATCAGTAAAGCTTGGAGAGTTTTAGAAGACATAAAATAGGATAAACTCCATTATTAAACAAAAACCGAACGATTATAATGGAGCTGTGTTTCAGCCCACTATGCAGCGGAACAATCCTGTAGTGAAAAAGTGCTGTGCGGGTACTCCCAGACGCCTCAATCACGTCCGATTTCATCATGTACCGGAGAAAGGTCAAAAAAGAGACATGCATTTTACACCCACCTGATGACTAAGACTTCACGTACACAAGCGCACAGACGGCCATGTATGGTTAACCGAGACAAAGGAACAACTGCCCGAGAACTCGTGTGGGTATGCAGGAGACACTGGTTGGTCGAGAGGAAGTCGACCATCAAACACAATCACAAAAAATCACATGATCAGAAAGCCGTAACTGCATTAGCACACAGTTTTCTGGCCGCCTTCTTGTCCTTTTACTATAAGCATACAGTAATGTGTAGAGATACAAGAGATTCTTACAGTAATGGTGGTGCCAACAAGTGGTTGAGTGGGATGAGATCGGGACGGACTCGTACTCAGCAGCCCAGCAATCAGATACTGGCCAAGCTTGCCCATGTGTGGCATTATAATGCCAGAGGCATAATACAGATCGGTATAGATATGCGAAGAGATATTGTGAGGCTAAACAGACACATAAGGACAGACAGTACAAGAACTTTCGAGACGGTGGACCAGGTTATCTGTGGGTAATTGCGTGATTTGCACAGCGCCATAATCTAGGGAGGGAAATCGAATGTAATAGAAGTGGTCACAAGTCCCAGAAGCGTTGCTATCAATTTCAATGAACAAATGGTGCATGGCAAATATGCCTCTGGATGCTAGTCTTATATGGCAGTGGCCAAGGGCTAGAAATCCTACTGTACATATTTTTATTCATTTAGTTTGTACGTTTTCAGTCCTGAAAGAAGTTGATAGCTGTGTTTGGTTGATAAGGTGGGCTTTCGTGCAATGCAACCCTAAACATGACGGAGACAGCTTCAGCTTTGCATGTTCATGTAAGCTGTGGGCACAAAAGAGTATCTTCATGCTATCCGGTGCATGTTTTTAAAGGGATTTTTGACGTACGAAAGGTCAGTTATCCACCATGTATGGTTTTCGGTGTTGCAAGGTGGATGGTACAATTAAGCGGGGTCCAACGCCAGCAGCGAAAAAATAAATTCAAGGCCAGATTCAAAACTGCTCCCGACGGAAGATGTGCAACTGCTACTTAAGGACTCGAAAGTATAGCAACGCAACATGGTGCAACGTAACAAAGCAACCTCTTTGCAAGGTGTATTCAAACGCCAAATGGGCATTTCATCCAATCGTGCACGCTGCCAGATACACACTGTGGGAAAAAACTTGTGCCTCCTTAGACCATAATGAACCGGGCAACGGGTCCTGCTAGTAAATAGAACATACAGTCAAATTAGTAACTTCACAGCTACTTTTGCAAACACACTACCGCTGCCTGTTCAGGCTGAGTGGAATCTATCCGGAGGTCTCCAAGGCTACATCACTCATGTCAACAAAATAATCCTACCCGATGTTTCCTCATTCACACAATGAAATAGACTTTTCCTATGCCTAAGAGAGGACGATCGTCAGGAGGATATACAAATCTGGTGACCGAACATTGTCTGACAGATATAGGTAGTTAGGCCTTACTGGCACATCATTATGCCGTACTGTGATGGAAGGTATTCTGAGGCGGGCTAATTTAAAGTGCCTCAGGGTCAACAACTGGATGTCGCAGGGGCGACAAGAACACGCCCAACGGCTCGCTCATACGGCACACATGCCCACATTTATGGGCAGCTAAGTCCAAGCCAAAAACGAAGGTCTCTTATTGGCTCTCCAAAGGCGCTCCGTCCTATTAAGTTCCACACGTGCCGCTGCCTCGCAAATCGAGTCATTCCCACGCTGGGAGAAAATTCTCCAATCGGCCAAACCTACTCTTCCGCGCAGGTTTCCAGTAAAATCACTCAAAGCCACGTTTAAGAACAACCCCGCTCTCTCATCTACGGCAGCGATTTCCCAGATGCTCTTTAGGATACGGGTCCACTTTTGTGGAGCACCGAAAATTCCGAAGATACAACACCAGTACTCTTCAGGTTGATGAGACACCGCAAAGTAGCGGCCATCGGACTGGTATCTTCCATTGAATGACGAAAGTTTTGTCCATACGCCGTTCAGATGAGGGCTAGTGAAAACCTCCCCATGCGTGTTTAGAACTGACCAGAGGGCAGGGAGATATGATAGAAAGGAAGTTTACGTGTGGATTTCGTCAAACATGCCCTTGTTTAGCGGTGAAAAATCGGTCCAACGGTATTCATCGTTTCAAGGGATGATTCGGCTCACAGCACATCCCTTTATCGAACAGCAATTCATCTCATTTCGGGTGATTGATTACTACATCCTAACGCTGACTTTTGTCCAATCTGCACAAAGTGCTTGTTCAGATGCCTTTATGTGAGTCAATGCGTTAGCAACCTCACTGGATCGCTCTGAGAACTTGAACGGCAGTTCTGCGCGATTTTGCGCTTGCGACTCTCAGACGAATAGGGGCTGGTGTTGGATAAGAATACACTCGACCGAAAGTCTTATGCAAAGCCCTGCTCCGTGCATTATTTCGTAACTTTGTTAAAAGTCCTTGTTTTAATGCGTGAGTGCTTGCTTGAGATCTTTGAAAATCGAAGTTGTCCCTGACGATTGAGCTGATTCGGCTGAGATGATGGTCATGTTCGGTCTGCTTTAGGGACAGTATACCCTGTAAAGTTTGACGAAACCAGCAAATAATTCCGGGGAGCTTGGCAGAGTTCAGGTAGAGAATGAAGCTTGAACCCTTGGTTAGATAAGCATGTGCTGTTTGTTGGGCTATGAGACACACTGGGAGGGTTAGCTCGAGGTAAGACTATCAAATAGGCCTTCGGCTTGTCGGACAATAAGGGGTCGTCAATATAATACTGTCCGTTTTGGTTGTGGATGGGGTGCGGGATATGTATCTTTCATATTCTTGTTGGAACAGCCGTCCTCATGTCCTCGCGTTATTATTCTGATGAGTTTACGCCAAAGAACAAACAATGGACTCGAGCTTTGCTTATCAGCTGCGTACACTCAGTTCTGCGCTAAGTTTTGAATTCCGGACATCCGGCATGTGAGGCGAACGAGTTGTCACTACTCCAAAAGTGTGCTCTAGGCGCATCTGAATCTTCACATCCGAACAGTCAAATGCGCTTACGCTTGACATATATGGCTTGTACACCCGACCCATCGAATGAGGTTCTATGCTGATTCGGCCGTCCTCTCTTGACTTCCCGGTCAGGTGGCACCACAGATGCTTGGAACACGCCGGACAGGCTTCGATTTTTTTGTTCTCAAGATATTTCGGAATATGTACCGTCTGTGTTGACCGGACAGTCAGACGAGACGCATGGACAAGAC